GATAAGATGAAAGTATAAGAAGTACATATATCAAATGTTGTGTAGTAGGTTCACCAAAAAAAATTATTATGGTCTAATACCTTAACTTAACAAATATGTTATGTTTTTGTCACATATTAATAAAATAAATAAAACACAACTTACAATTACAATGTATTTTATTAAATATCGCTTATCATGAGATAAAAACAATATAAAATGTTTACTCATATACATTAGTAGTTTATAAAAACGCACGCAATTATACAATTTTTTTTTGAAACATTAGATAATATTGTTATTTCGTAAGAAAATGCTTTAGTGAAATATAATTTCTCAATTTGGATTTAACGCACAAAATATTTCAAAGTATGTTATGAGTAAAAATTATAAAATCTCTTCGCGCCCAACTATTTAAGAACAGATACGCTCCTGCTCGGAACAAGAACGACCAATGAAAGTCCTTGCTTATTGTTTATACCAGGTGTCATTTTGTTAATATTTATAAAATGGACGACATTTATATATACGTAACGCAATATAATTCATAAAATGCTAGGAATGTTACATATTTATGAAAATTGAGAAATGTCACAACTATTTAACACGTTTATGTGACCAATTTCAGAGTGTACATTCAAGAGACCAATTGTTGATATGTATGTATATCGTGCTTGTTTGTGTTGAAAACTTTATGGCGGCAATTATGCCATTTTGGTGTTACGTGTGAAATTTTTTTTATTGTCTTGAAAAATGCCGGCGTTTTTAAAGCATATCGAAGTAGAAAACTTTAAGTCGTACAAGGGAAAGCTTATTATCGGTCCTTTGAAATCATTTACCGCTGTTATTGGACCAAATGGATCTGGTAGGTTATGTTTTTGATTGTGGCAAGACCAGTTTCTTAGTTTTCAACAGAAGACACTTTGTACGTATTCTTATATTACAGGAAAATCCAATTTTATGGATGCAATTAGTTTTGTGATGGGAGAGAAAACAAGTAGTTTACGTGTAAAACGTTTTAGTGAACTTATTCATGGAGCATCAATAGGAATGCCAGTGGCTCGCAGGTACATCTGAATCTGTATACCAAAATGTAGACTTGTATAAGACTGAAACAATCCAGTTATTATGTATATATAATACAATAATACAGGTTCACCTATATATCCTAATAAACAAGCAAATTATCAAAAAATTATTCAGTACATTATAAGTCCTGCTAGATGTCAAACAGGTTTTGTTTGAAACATATTTTAATAGAACAAAGAAGTACCCAACTAAATTTAGATGACATGATTAAATAATTCATCTTATATATACTAATACAGCAAGAACTATATGTCAATCATTGATTGTTGAACATATCTTTTTAAATTGTAGTGCGTCTGTAACTGCTGTGTTCGAACTTGAAGATGGTAGCGAAAAAAGTTTTATTCGTTCTGTACAAGGATCTTCGTCTGAGCATAGAATAAATAACAATGTTGGTATACATTTTTATATAATTATACTATTATGCTTTCTTTTGTAATTTTGAGGAAGAACCTTCTACATAATTTTTGGATTTATTATATAGGTTGTTACTAGTCAAGTATATTTGAATGAGTTAGAACATCTTGGCATTAATGTGAAAGCAAAGAATTTTCTCGTATTCCAAGGAGCTGTTGAGTCAATAGCCATGAAAAATCCTAAAGAACGTACCGCACTTTTTGAGGAGATTAGCAATTCTGGCGCACTGAAAGCAGAATATGAAAGGTATACAAAATTTTATGTTAGAGTAAAATTAGAGAATAATAAGTAATACAATGTGTATGTTTCTCATATTATGTTTTTATATACGTTATAGGTTGAGGACAGAAATGTTGAAAGCAGAAGAGGAAACACAGTTCTCATATCAGAAAAAGAAGGGGATCGCCGCTGAAAGAAAAGAGGCAAAACTGGAGAAAGAAGAAGCCGAGAAATATCAACGTTTGAAGGAAGAATATGTAAACAACCAATTTTTTTGTTACTTACAGTTTTTTGAGAAATGATAAACATAATATTTTTCTAATGTCGTTGCTTTTTCCATTTTAGATAGAAAAGCAAGTTGAATTGCAATTGTTTCGTTTATTTCATAATGAGAAAAATACAGAGAGTTTAGAAGTATCGCAGAAGAAAAAGCAACACGAGATAGAAAAAATAGAAAAGAAAAGAGAAAAGGCAGAAGAACTATTAAAAGAAAAAAAGAGGGATTCTGGGAAGTTGGGAAGGGATCTCGCTAAAATTGAACAGGACATTAGAGAAGTAGAAGTGGATATAACGAAGAAAAGACCTACGTTTATCAAAGCAAAAGAACGCGTTGCGCACATGCAGAAGAAAGTAGAGTCAGCACGGAAATCATTGGCGCAAGCTCGTATCGCAGATGAAGCTCATAAGAAAGATATACATGAACTTCAGGAGGAGTTACGTCAAGTAGAAGAAGCTAAAGCAGCCTATGAAGCAAGCATTGCTGGGCAATCACAATTGCAGGGCAGAGATGTACAACTTGAAGACGAACAGGTATAAATTTAAATCAAGCTTAATTGATAAAATAATGAAAAGAATAAACGCAACGCTTATAATAATTATAAAATTAATTCAAGGTTAAGGAGTATAATCGTTTAAAAGAGGAAGCAGGCAAACAATCAGCAAGATATTTGCAACTTCTTGATTCTATCAATCGTGAACAAAAATCAGATCAGGACAGACTTGATAATGAAGGCCGGAAGAAAACTGAGATAGAGAATAAACACAAACAGAAAGGTCATATGCGAGATGAAGCTCTCAAGAGGGTAGAAAAATTAGAAGAACATATTAGAACCTCAGAAGCGGCTTTGGAGGATCAGAAAAAGTTAAGAGCTGATTTACAGTCAGATGTTGGTATTTCCAAAGATAAAATCCAGAACCTTCAGCGTGAGTTAGAGAGTATATCTGAACAGTTAGGCGACGCGAAGGTTGATAAGCATGAAGTGTCAAGAACTAAGAAGAAAACAGAAATTGTTGAAAATTTTAAACGTCTTTTCCCTGGAGTGGTAAGAAATACCTTATATTAAGTTCCTATAATAATGTTCAGCACCAATTTATAGTTACTTTATTTTAATTATAATTATTACTGCTCCTTAGTATGATCGTATGTATAATATGTGCGAACCTATTCATAAGAGATACAATGTTGCAATTACTAAAGTTCTTGGCAAATATATGGAGGCGATTGTTGTTGATACTGAGAAAACGGCTAGACAGTGCATTCAGTACCTTAAAGAACAGTATCTTGAACCAGAAACATTTCTTCCTCTCGATTATATTCAAGCAAAACCATTGAAAGAGAGACTTAGGTACGTATCTGAAATAATTAAGGTTGTTTATTTGCAAGCTTTGGTTTATAAATAATAAAATCATAATATGTATCCAATGATGTGTTGCTTTCAGAAATATTCAAGAACCTAAAAATGTAAAATTGTTGTATGATGTCTTACATTTTTCTCCAAAGGATATTGACAGGGCAGTGTTGTTTGCTACAAATAATGCTCTCGTGTGTGAAACGCCTGAAGATGCAAACAAAGTAGCTTATGAAATGGATAAGAAAGCAAGATATGATGTATGAACATTACTTACTTATTTATTCAAATTACAAGTCTAAATAGAGATATCTATGTATATATATTTTTTACACTTACAGTGTGTAGCATTAGATGGAACGTTTTATCAAAAAGCTGGAATTATATCTGGGGGTAGTTTGGATCTTGCGAAGAAAGCGAAACGGTGGGATGAGAAACAAATGTCCCAATTGAAAGCACAGAAGGCATGACACTTTAATTTTATGTAGATGTAATTTATCTTTCACTTGGAATTAGGGTATAACATGTTGCAAACATTTTACAGGAGAAATTAACAGAAGAATTACGCGAGTCTTTGAAAAAATCTCGAAAAGAGTCTGAATTGAACACAGTTGAATCGCAAATACGTGGATTAGAAACGCGATTAAAGTACAGCAAAAATGATTTGGTTGAAACCGTATGTAAAATAATATATAATATTATATAATTTTATTTTACTGTTCTATCAAATATTTAAATATTATATTCATTACAGCAAAAACAAATTTCAGCACTTGAGGGGGAATTAGAGAGTCTTCAAAATGAATTGAACCTGTTTGGTGTAAGTGTAAATACATTTATTGTGTATTCATTCAAGCTTTACAGACTCAGTAATCGCAGTTGTTTAATTTGTATATATAGCCGACAATAACTGCTATTGAGAAAACGATGGCCGAAAGAGACCAAGAAATACAAAATATTAAAGAGAAAATGAATAATGTCGAAGATGACGTATTTGCCAGTTTTTGTGAACAAATCGGTGTGTCTAATATTCGTCAGTACGAAGAAAGAGAGCTACGGTGTGTATTATTTCTAATAATTTAATAAAAAGAATTATACAATTTTGTAGACAGAAAATTGAAACAATTTATGAGGAACTGTAATCGTTATTATTGAATTGTAGATCGCAACAAGAAAGAGCAAAGAAGAGAATGGAATTTGAAAATCAATGTAACCGCATATACAATCAATTAGATTTTGAAAAGCAACGCGACACGGAAAGTAAGTAATTTCTGTACAAAATTCATAAAACTATATCATATAGTTTACTAAGCCTGAAAAACTTCTTGATTGTTCAGTAAATATTTTTCATACAATAAAAAAAAAAGAGTTTTTAATTTAGTCATGCTTCATTTTTATTAGGCAATGTTTTACGTTGGGAACGCGCGGTTCAAGATGCAGAGGACAAACTTGAAAGTGCAAGGCAGGTTGAATCCAATCAAAAAATTGAGATAGATCATGATGAGACTCGAATGGAACAATTGAAATCAGAACGGAACGTAAAGAAAATGGAGGTTGATCAGAAGGACGATGAAATTGGTAAAGCGAGACGTGAGGTTGGCGCAATTGCGAAAGACATACAAGCTGCTCAAAAACAGTTGAATGGTATTGAAGCGAAAATTGAGCAGAAGAAAGCTGAACGTCACGCTGTATTAATGCAATGCAAGGTATGTATGTCGAGGAATAAAACAAATGTACATCTTTACCATTCCATAATTATGTAAATTATTTATTATTAGCTGTGTAAATTTTAAGAAAATGTTAATATCAGTAATAATAATATTTAGATGGAGGACATTGCAATCCCAATGCTCCATGGAAATATGGAGGACATTGCCAATGAAACGAGTGTATCTAACAGTACAGAAAGCACTATTGGGGAACGGGAAAAGCGAATCACTGTAGATTATGGTCTTCTGCCGGAAAATTTGAAGGACGTGGATGAAGATGACATCAAGAAAACCAGCGATAAATTAACAAAGGCAATTAATGATTTGCAAGGTACCATTCAGCGACTTCAGGCTCCCAATATGAAGGTAACAAGCAGCTTCATAATTCATTAGAAACAAAAATTAAGGACTCATATAGAGATAAAAAAAATATTTATGGCGTTTTCAGGCGATACAAAAATTATATCTTGCTAAGGAAAAGTTACAAGAAACAAACGAAGAATTTGAACAGTCTCGGAAAAAGGCGAAGAAAGCGAAAACACAATTCGAAAGAATAAAGAAAGAGAGACATGATAGATTTATGGCATGCTTTGAGCATGTGGCTAACGAAATCGATCCGATTTATAAGGTTACTTCCTGTCAAAAATTCGTATTATCTCTGTCTATTTATATATAAATAATATTTGGAAATTCTTGGTATTCTAGAGTTTAGCAAAAAATCAATCTGCCCAAGCATTTCTTGGCCCAGAAAATCCAGAAGAACCATATTTGGATGGTATTAATTATAATTGCGTCGCACCAGGAAAACGATTCCAGCCAATGTCTAATTTGTCTGGAGGAGAGAAAACGGTTGCCGCATTGGCTCTGTTGTTTGCAATTCATAGGTGATTTTATATGTACAATTATTAATTATTTTTAAAGCATAAGTCATATCGAGGTTTTGAATTATAACTAATGAATTATAACTAATTATACCTTGCTTACAGTTTTCAACCAGCACCATTTTTTGTATTGGATGAGATTGATGCTGCATTGGACAACACTAATATAGGAAAAGTTGCAAGTTATATACGTGATAAGACAAGCTCCTTACAAACAATTGTTATATCTTTGAAGGAAGAATTTTATTCGCATGCTGATGCGTTGATTGGTATTTGCCCTGATGTAAGTACAGGTTTATGTATATTTTACAATTTTTAGAGCATACAATCATTATTAATATTATCAAATTTGTCTTAATTTTCAGGTTGGCGAATGCTTACAAAGTAAAGTATTAACACTCGATCTATCTGTATGTCCCACGCACATTAATTAATGAATATATTATAGTATTAATATTTATATATTTCAATAT